GCAAGGCCTGGATACCGCGTTATCAAAATCCTAGCAATTTCGCTGCACATAGGCTCTTCGCGGTTCAGCAGAAGATGAATTATTGTTTCGCCCTCAACTCCTCGTTTATTCAGCCTCCACTGGCCGAGATGCTCTCGAAATTTGCTTCCAAACTGGCCGACATCATCACCTTCTTCGGTCTTACCAAGTTGCACATTCTGCAAATATTTGAATCGATCACGTTGCCACAAAAGGAGAACTTCTATCTAAAATGTTGAACGTTGTGAAATGAGAATTTCGCATCGGATCGAATTCCGTTGGCAGCGCCTAGATAGGTGGCGTAGACATAGAGAACAACTGCCCTATTTCCAGAGTGTTTGAAGCGAATCACCTTTTCCCGAAATTATCTGATGTTTTAAAACCTTTGGTTGTTGTCTTATTCATTTGTTATATTAGCAACGCCCAGTTGCTGACTAACGAACTAAAAAAATAATGGTACTCAATTATTTCTTCAAGAAAAAACGCTGAACTTGTCCCATTAACATAACATTTTCCGGAATTGCTTTTCTTCGAGAAATTTATGGCCGAACTAGTACTGTTCATGATTATGCGGCTTTCCATAGGCTGTTTAAGAGTACTTTTTGAACAGTGTGTCTTTAAGTGGGAAATTGCACAGTAAAATAATATTCGGTGAGAAAGTTTCATCACTTTATCAATCCAATTAAGACGCAAGGAACTTGACGCAGCTGTGCTATTTTAATTGCTACTTCGATGTTATCAGTCGACTAGATTCATGGTACTAAACAAATTCAGATTTCGCGACACGATCTGTTCGGGTGACAGGCTTTTACATTTCAGTACAGTGAGAAGCGACGTGGCTGAGAAGGAAAAACTAAAGAAGACAGCCTGGGTCAGCAAGCATGACACTACCACGCTTAGCGAACCGATGCAAACCTTATCAAGTCCAGGCGATTTCGTCAAGGAAGCAGTATGGAACTGAACAAAATAAATTTTGAAGGCTTACTGGTACTAAAGAACGGTCGGCCTATGGGGCGGCTTTTTGTAAAATAAAAAAGAAAAAATTATGTTGAATAAGGATCTCGACATGTTGAAAGCCGCATAGAAAATTTGATTCTGAATACAGTCAGTTGATATTCCCGGAAAAAATGAGGTCAGAAGGAAGCTAGCAGTTTGAAAGCTGCAAATACTGACAAAGGCTGACGAGTACTGAAACATACGATAGTCTTCTTCCATTTCGCATAATCACTAAATCGAATCATTTGTGGCGCCACGCCGTCCTCGTACATCATTGATACGAACTTCTCATTGGCAAACTTTAGGACACCGTCTTCGCCTTCTTTTTCAAAAGCGGTCAGCAGCCCACCACCTGTAAAATAAATCGTTTTATGGCAACCAAAAAAATTAATTTATTTCCGGGCATGAAGTTCGGCCGTTTTTCAGATGAAAAAAAAATAAAAATTTGAAGGAAGTCGGAAGAGGATTATGAAATCTACAAAATGCACCCGCTTTTGAATTCACGATAAAATTGAGTATTTTTCATGTCTGTGTGCAGTGAATTTCACCTCAAAACTGAAGCAGTTCCACACATGAATGTAGAATACCCTCGCAAAGTTTCAGCTTCACGGCTTGTCTGGTAAGTTCACTCGCTTCCGTACACAAATACACGGATGACATCTCGAAAATATGCGTTTTTGCTCAATGTAACAGCTTTATAGCGTTGTACAGTAAAAACTTATAAAAATGAACAAAATTAGAGATGTGGGACGCCGAATGCTACGGAATAGCCTTACTTTACGTTCCTTTCGATCAGTATACGGAATTATTTGCAAATAATATTTTTGTCGAACAATTTGTATTTGTATGCTTAATGA